GGAAGGAAGGAAGGAAGGAAGGAAGGAAGGAAGGAAAGAAGGAAGAAAAATAAAGAAGTGTCTCTAAATGCCTTGAAAATCGACTGCAAGCCAACAGACCAGAATTCAAATTACTGTCGACAGCTTCAATATGAACAATTCTCTTTACACTGTCATGGAGGAGGTCGTCTTGTCAAGTTCCCGTCAAAACAAAGTCTTTGAAAAGAATGATAAAAAAATCGTCTTTCTACTAAACTCTTCCCTTACCCGACAACTAGACGCTTTTCTATTTTTCTTTTCTTCCTAATGACTATTTATGGTTGTCTTTATGATAACATCAGTTTAGAGTGTACCATAGTATACAGCGGTACTATAAATAATTTAATATTTCAGTTGATCGATAATGCAAAACCAATATGTTTGAGATACTGACATATTTTGTGATGACATCAATATTTTTTGTCTGATTAATGTTAGTTTTATTAGTTTTTTTTCCCCTGTGTCAATCTAATCTTTCTTTACATCATTATATTGTTCGAGATAAGATAATCTATCTAGTTACATATATACGAAGATTATATACGTTCCGTATAAAGTTGATAAGGTTTTTTTTTGGATTTTGTGGATTAAATGGCGGTCCGTAACACTTTTGATGGAAGAAATATGTTTTCTAGTAAAAAATATTCTGTGAAACATAAGGTACCCTTTTTACAACTAAATAAAAGCTAGTTCTCGCCTATGGCGAGATAATATATTCGACCAGTCTTTTAGTATGTCTTTAGTGTTTTAGTTTGTCTTCATTTAGTGCTGTTTTTACCACCAGTAGCGTTTTTTTCAGTGTTTCTGCATTTCTTAAAGACAGCTGGTAGCTAGCTTTGTTTGTGCGCTGTGAAAGTTAGCCTCTTCGCTGACATAAATCGATCTCGCTTTACATGGAGGATTCTGCAGCTAGTGTGCCGACTTCAGCTGTTAATAGCGACCGGGTTGTCGTCTTATGACTATTGCTAGTAGTTTGCATCATTGTATCTCGAGATTCGAGAAAGTTTCCCTTCTTTGAGAACAACGCCTTCATTCCAACCCGGAATTCTTTGCTACAAAGGTAGTACACGCAAGGATCTAAAGAGGAGTTGATAACGATCAGAAGGACACTCAGATCATGAATTAAAACATAATAATTTTTCTCCAACAGATTGAATTCTGGCATAAATGCAATGAGCAGACGAAGCATATTCAATGGTAGCATAGTAACAGCAAAGATGACCACGAGTGGTGTCAGGATTCTCTGTGCTTTCTTGTTTTGCTTGAGTCGTCGCCTTTCTTCTTCCTTGAAGAGTTTGCTCTTTGCAGCTTCTTCTCCGTGCATAGTTTTGTGGAAGGTGTTGCTCTGTCGCAGTTGAGCGGAGATCTTCCAGTATGTAACAGTTATGATGCCGAGGGGCAGCAGATACCAGAAGATTGCCAAGGATACAGCATAGGCTTTGAACATAAAGTTGTTCATAAATGCAGGCCATATTGGGTAGCAGTCATAATATGCCGAATTGTTTGCACGTTTGTAAACGAACAAGGGATACAACGGAGCTGCGACCACAGCAAACGACACCAACCAGATCAGAACAATCTTGAGCGTCACTCTCTTGAATGACTCGCCTTTCTTTACGAAAACTTTACGGCTGATGATATTTTTATACCTCTCAATGGCAATCACCGTGATGGACCAAATGGAAGCACCAAAAAACACGTCCAGCCCCGGGGAAATGTATAGACACAGGAATCGACCAAGCACCCAACCTTTCGAAGGACTGCGAATTGAATAGATCGATAATGGAAAGTTAACTAGGAGAACTCCCAAATCAGTGATGGCGAGATTTCGCAGGTACAAGTTCATGCTCGTCTTCATGTTAGCACGTCTGGTAATGACAACACACACCAGAATGTTCCCTAAAACACCAACAAGTGCGAATACCAGGTCTATGGTAAGTATGGTTGTACCAACGACCAGTGAATATCTATCCGTTGGGTTGGTAGAAGTGTCATTTCTTTCTGTCCCATTCATGCTTTACCGCTAGCTTCGTGTAGTTCTGAGTCCTGAGTCTAAAGCCTTGAGCTTCTTAAATGGAATTGGTTATATAGTATCAGAACACCTTGTCCACTGCTGCATACACGACAAAATGACACCTAATGTCGCGCCGTAAGGTATATATTAATCCAACAAAGATTGATGCAGACAGTCTTTCGTAATAAGGCTGTCAGGTATCTCGTTGACAGGAAATATGTAATTAATTAGGTGATTTTTAATTTGCGTTTGAATGAACGAACATTTCTAATAGCGTACTTGATGTAGTAGGTTCAGTTCCTAGGAACACGGACGAAAACCCCCGAGGCCAAAGTTGAAGAGTGCTTACGTGCAGTCAAAATTGAAAGCCCCCGCTAAAAATGGTGGGATTTCTTTGGCTATAAGCCGATCATAGAAGTAATCACATTTGTGCCGTCGTATTCAAAACACCAAACTAATGAATAAAACTCATTGTAAATACGAGACTATACTTTGCATTAATTAAACTTAATGGCTGAGTTCAAATCTCAAATTGGTTCGTCAATTTTTTCTTTTCTTTTTTTGAAATTGAATTTTTTAGTTGCAGTGGTGCCTATGTTAGGCGCGTAAAAGGTCAGCTATACTAAGCTACAATGTTTCCAAGCCACAGTGGCTAAAGTAAGTCTACAACTTCCGTCTGCCCAAAGGCACTTAGTCTTACATTACATTTTGCTCACTGCGGGCAAACGAAAACAAAATCCTGGGGAGTGTCAATTAGACAAGCGTGGTTCAATTAGACAAGTTAAATCGTTAGCTTCTGTCGTGGATTTTAATATCTCCTTTAATGTATACTGTAAAGATGGGTCATCACCCCCAACTGTTCGCATGGGCTTGTGAAAAAGCGCGCGCACGCGTCGCTTGTCTCAGTTCAAAGGCGGGAAACCGCAGGTGAATACCGTCATTTAGAGACGTTCGCCGTCACAGGATAATAACGCTAAACTGACCTTGCTGAATGTTTTTGTAGCTATATTGACATATTATCGACCAATTCAGTTTTTTTTTTCACTGGCTTTTTTTATCGCATGCGAGAAGGATTATGCAAATGAACCAAAATGGACAAAAAGATCTTTCACTCTTTCTTTTCTCGCAATAACTTTCCCTGCAATAATTATCGACGATATCAAGCAATATAACATCGAAATTCTCAGTTATTACTCTCCTTTTCAGCCGTTCCAAATCTGTAATGATATTCTATATATTTCTTTTTGAGATAGCAAGAGAAATAACTAATTAAATAAAACGCGAGAAGTGATAAAAATGACAGCATGATTGAAGGCTTTGTTTGGAAATCAGAGCCAAAAAATGAAGCAGATTTTCTCAAAGAGGTTGATAGACTTTCTAACTCAGATACTCGGAATTCAGTTCAACGAATGAATTTGAATTCAATAAGAAAGATCGTATTTTATCATTACTTTATCTCTATTGTTTCATTCGCTCCGAATTTGAACTGAACTGGGTCGATGGAAGAGAAGATATGGTGAACAGGTGGCTTCGTTTTGTTTATGTAACAAACGGTACTCTTTTTCGGTACTTTAATCATATGCAGTATTTATGATGAACTTTTCGTGACTTTCTTGTTATAAAGCATTTTTTTAATATTTCAAATATTTATTATATCTTCCTCGAGAGTTAAAATATCGGTCGAAAACAACATTTCAGAAAGCTTTTAGCTTAAAAATCTTTTTTTAGTGTCGATTTGATTTAATTGCCCGAAATATACCATATGAAAGCGCTGAAATTACGTGATATTGTATCCCACATACAGGGATTAAATGAAATCCATAGCAACGATATTTGATTGAAAGTATTTTTGCAAGGCGCCTTTAACGAGAGATTGTTTAATTGCGATCCATTTGATGAAATATTGATTGATAGTCTGCTCATGTGCGATGAAAGATTTGTAATTTCAGTGATGTGATATGCAACCAACGCCTATCTACACTCGAACACGTTCATTGTGGTTCGATCGATCATGAAATGTCTTGTTTATACAAGTCGAAATCTAATTACTAACGTGCAAAAGTGTAATTAAAGTTCCAAATGAGTAAACACAGGCATTATCATTAATCTTATGTGTTTCAAAATAACACACATCCATGTTTTCACAGCCGTTCGCGAAATGTTAGCTTCATGTTGAACGGTCCCAAAAATAGACCTGAGGAATACCTTTTACAGTTTCAAAGTGAATTAGGTAACAGAAATAACTGGAAGGAGATTTTCTTAAAAGAAATAATAATCTATACGGTTAGTCAAATAAGATAAAGGTCCCAAAAGTAGACTCTGTGGAACACCTTTGTACAGTTTTGAAATTTATTTGGTACGAAACAGGAAGAAGAAGATTTCTTATRTGAAATGATCAAGATAAACAAGATAAAGGTCCCAAAAATAGACTCTGTGGAACACCTTTGTACAGTTTTGAAATTTATTTGGTACGAAACAGGAAGAAGTTTTCTTATATGAAATGATCAAGATATAAGAGATAAAAGTTCCAAAAATAGACTCTGTGGAACACCTTTGTACAGTTTTGAAATTTATTTGGTACGAAACGGGAAGAAGTTTTCTTATATGAAATGATCAAGATATAAGAGATAAAAGTTCCAAAAATAGACCCTGTTTAAGAAGTAGAGTTTATATTAGTTAACAGTGTACCTAATGACAGGAAGAAGGAGGTTTCTTCCTTGAAATAATCTACACGGCTATTCAAACAAAATGATGAATAAATCGGAAACGGTCCAATAATAGGGCCTGCGGCACACCATTCAATGTCAAGGAAGGAAGTAAATTTGCTAAATTCTTATCACTGTTTGAAACATTCTAGTCGGTTTATGCAGAGATTAAGAAAATCTAAATAGAACAGGCGTTAGATAAAGCTGTCGTATAGTATGCAAGCAGCGGCTATCTGAAGTTTTACTGACTTAAGCGAATATGCGAATATGTAACACGTAGTACAACGACTATAAATATAAACAGATACACCTACTTGCAATAACGTTGTCGTCCGAAAACAGAACATTTCTAATTTAGTGAGAAAGGAATACATTAAATGACAAAAGAAAAAGTTCAGCTTTAGTGATCTTCTTTTGTTTTTTAATATGATTCCTATCCCGCTAAATCACTGTTTTATTTTCGTATGACAACGTTCTTGCAACTAAGTGTATCTAAAAGTAATTGAATTTTGTAGAAAAAATTAAGGTCCAAAAATTGAACCTTGGGGAAAAGCAATTTTCAAGCGTTTTAAGAAAGAATGGTTATTTGAACTGTAGATRTATTCGAGAAGATGAAACGTTCCGAAAACATATAAGAACCTACTGAACACGTAATAATTTCAGATTGAATTAATATGTTAATGCCATCCATATTTCATCACATATCATAATTGTAGTTGGACGACGTTTCAGATAAATAAAAGAAAAACCTGACGTTCGAAATCAAAATGATTTWTTTTCTTTCCGAAAGAATTTGAGGCCATTTGAGGGCCTCAAATGTTAATTGAAGAGGCCCCAAGATACTACTTGAGGGACACCTTAGGATGTGTAAATATACTTTCTTCTTGATAGCGAACGTGACACTAATTATAGCTGTGGCCGTAGACTCATTTATTCATCAATTCTTAATTCAAAGAAAAATATCAAAACTAAGAAAAGACATCTGGGTTACGTCATGTATTACTGTTGGTAAACAAATGCACAGTTTTATTAATCTCTTTTTCGATTGCTTTTCCGGAAGAAAATATGATTATTTTCCTACTTTTTTTTTAATTATCCAATTTCTTTTTGTTCAAATAACTTTTGTTTACTTAAAAAAATWATTATTAAGCAACAGGATGAAAAAACTAGGTAAATTGATAGAATATAACGTTATTAAAAAAGGTCTGTTGACGCAATTGTAAAACAAATTTCAGCTCAAATGACAAACGAAAAGTAGTAGAAAACAATAAAGAAAACAACGTTGACACAAGTTATTATTTTACTGTGAAATTTATTTGTATTTTATTCAATTTCTTTCATAACTTAAGTATTTCATATCGGTACATTCGATATTTAAAAAAAAATTAATTTCGAGTTGAATTGAAATTTTTAATTTTACGGTTGCTCCTTGAAACCAGTGTTTCAAGGAGGT